ATATCATGTCGGCCGTTTTTATGTGTGATAACAGAACCTAAATCGAGGTAAGGCTAGGCCTAGCCTAACAGCGTTGGATAGGCTAATGTTTTCGGCGCCTACGATATTTCTTCTCACGAACTATCGCAAAATCAACATGAAAAATTCATCCGCATTTTTTGATTTATTTTTTGTGTGGAACACAAAAAAAATCAAATTTCAGTCTTATTTTACATTTTTTTCATGCTTTAGGAATGTCAAAATTTAGTTAAACTATTACAATTCCGTATTATATTTATAAATCTTCATAACATTACAAATATTAGATTTTTCTTAACAACTGAAATTTCGCCGGGAATGGGGCTTTAAAGAAATGTTGATGGTGATTTGAGGAGAACCTGAAAATTGTTAAAATGTTGGCCACCAGCTGAATATTTCCATATAATGAGAAGTATCTGGAATGTTTTGCTGTATTACTTGTTGTTCACACTAAATTTATGTCCAGTACAGTACGAAGATTAACTCTCAGTCTTGCATGACTAAAACATTCGGACAGTGTTAAAAGATTAGTGGTCAGTCGGGCGTGACTAAACATAAACTTGAATGGGAGATCAGTGGTTTTTTTTGTGACCTTAAATACAATTTCATTTTGATCAGGCCCATAGTCACGGGGTTCCTGGGCATTGGCCCGAACCCCACTTTTTCAGCCAACCCCCCTTTGACAAGCGAACCCCTTGTGATTGAAGCAATTACATTACTATTATTGTATAGTAGTATTAAAGTATTGTAAGATTAATTTCTAGCAGAAAAAGATTCTATGTTGCTTTGTTGTTTTTACAATAAATATTGATGTTCAAATTTACTTATAGTTTCAGTGGTTTTACTGTGCATTGTTGACAACTGTCTTGATATCCTGTGCGGAAAAAAAGTTATCATTATTAATTGTGAGGCCCTGCATACTAGAACTCTTACTCCCTTGCATTGGATACAAAAATCTATTTCATTTTATACTGCTCTGCTCCTTGATCCCACTGCGGCCCTTCGGCGGGCCTCTGGACCCCATGCCCTGACCCCCCCCCCCCCCCCCCCCCCCCCCCCCGCTGGCTACGGGCCTGTTGATTGTGATCAACTAGAGGAATTGGACATCTGAGTTAAGCCCAACACCTACATGTAGTCATGATTGCCATTGGGCAGGAGGATACATGAGTTTGCAGAAAGACCAAATGTGAAATAAGGGTTGTCTAGAGTGGTACCCTGACGAGGTCAAGGGGAGGAGACAGTTAAATCACAGCTTTGGTATTTTGAGAGTTCCAATAGATTATATTTTTCATTAAGTTTAATACTGTACAACTTTTCAGTTCTGTATGTACTGTTATTGTATTCAATTTTCTTAAAATTGTGGACCTTTTTTCGATTTGGAAGGGTACGTACAAACCCATTTTGCACCATAAAGTAGATACCTGTACAGGTCTGACCACTACTGTGACTAATGTAGTCTAATGATCACCTTCTGGATAATGTGGTTCACAGATGTGTCACATGTCTAGTTAATAGACCGATTCAGTGATGGGCATCACATGACCTACTGTAACTTGGGTGTTGGATGTACTGCAAACAATTGACTGGCACAGCGGCGTTTACATGCAGATTGCTATTGCGGCCGTCCTTTGTTATTGCTGTAAATATCATCATATTTTCCAGCAAACTATACCAAATTGATTGGAAATTAAACTTGAGAATTTTACCTACTGTAAACGGTTTGCTAATGCTCCAAAAGATAGTGGGCGCAAACATTGAAATTATTCAACAAATGTTAGGCTTAGGGCCCTGCACATCTATAGCCTGTTTAGGTATTCATGAGAGTCTTTACCCACGAGCCACGCTGCGATTTTAAGGCTACCTAAGTTTTACGAAG